GTGCAGAGGGTTCTCATTTTCTCCCCTACTATGCTGGGTTTGATGATTCTTAACCTCGGCTGTGTATTAGAATCACCTGAGGATGAGCACGTAACATCAAGGCCCAGGACCCATGTCCACCCCAGGTTCTGATTTAGTATGGGAGGTGCTGGAAGGGATCCCAGATGATCTTAATGGGTAGCCAGGAATGAGGACCACTGCTCTGCTCTCTGCAGTTGCCAGGGAACAGTCCTTGAATCCTGTTATTTTACAATGTGGAGTAGTTTGATCCTTTTTGTTTCTCCCTTCTCTTTCAAGACCACGAAATCCCTCAAACTGCAGCCAGATTGTAAAAGATCATTTTCTCCCTTTTTCTGCCATGAATACATGCATATGCAGGCCTTTAAAAAGTAGATCATACCACCTATATTGTTCTGCATGTTGCTTTTATCACTTAACTTCCTTTCATGCCTGTAAGACTGACCTACCTCAGTACTCAGACAACAGACTATTCCATTATTAAGCACATACATAATTTGCTTAGCCATTTTCCTATTGATGTCATTTGGGTCTTTCCTCATAATTTGTTCTTACTAATTATGCAATAGCTGCAGTGAACTTCCATGTGGTTGTGTAACCTTCAAAACTTCTGCAGATATTTCCAGGGTGGAATCACCAGGTCATACGTTAAACATACGTTTAAAATCTTGGCAGGTATTGCAAAACACTCTCCATTTTAATGATGTATCACTATACTCCCCCACCAACAGTTTGTTAAACCATCTTTTTTCCAGACTCTTAACAACACCAAATGTCATCAGTCTTTTTTACTGTTTGCTAATTTGCCAGGCAAAGAAAAGGTATTTCATTGTTTGTGTTTGCATTCCTCCAATTACTAGTGTAGTTGAACATCTTTTTTGTCCTTTTGTTAGTACTTTGTATTTCTTCTGTGAATTGCCTGTTTAATAAGTTCTTGATGACTATTAGTTTGAAAGATGCAATGTAATCCCCTCCTGTTTTTCTCTCTACCTGTCCTCTCCCCATTATAACAAGTCTGTAATATTATCCCAATTCTTGATTATTCAAAACAATGGAGAGAAGCAGAGTATGCATAATTCAAAATTTCATAAAATCACAATATAATTTATATTGGATTTTATATGTGTTTTTAGAAAGAGCCCAGATCTGGAAAGTGCATCCACCTGAATCACATCTTGGTTTTGCCTCTGTCTGGCTGTGTGACCTTAGGGATGTTGCTTTCCTTGTTGAGCCTGTTTTCATAAGTAGAATGGGAATATTAACTTATTTTGCCTAGTTGTGATAATTACCTAAGATGGTGTATGTAAACCTCCTGGTGTGGACCCTGGACCTCAGCTAAGATTCAATAAATGGTTGTTAGTGTTACAGTGTTACAATATTGGATTATTGGAATTGTTCTAAATTAGGAATCTTCATTGTGAGTTTCTCAGTCTTTTATTCTTACTCTTACCTCAACTGCTCTCTAAAGCATCTAGGCTCAGATCTCCCTCCCTCTGCCTCTCATATTGACTAGGGTTCTGTCCATTTCAAGGTTAAGGATTTCAATTTCAAGTCTGCAAATCCAGTACATAGAGGAGGTGGAGATAGCCACAAACAGTGGCTAAGCACTGAACGGGCTGTGTGCTAACAGTGGGGGCTAGAGACGTGAGCAAACCCAACACTGGAGAAGATGTCTCTTTCTCCCCAAGTCTCACTGTCAATAAAACCTGCCATTAATCCACAATCAAGAACTGACCGTGATGCCTGTACTTTCAGTTACAAGTAGCAGGTGTCGAGGGCACTAAATAATGAGGAAAATGTATTAATTTGGATCACACGAAGTCTGGATGTAGAGTAGGTCCATGGTGAGGTCGTTTAGCATTCCCAGAACCCAGGTCTCTGCATCTGTCAATAGTGTGTCTGCAACTTGCCCGTCCTGCATTGACTGCTCTCATGTCCCAAGGAGACTGCTGCAGAAAACAGCATTGAGGGACAAGAGATGTTTCTCCTCACGTGTCTCTTTTAAAGAGTGAAGAGGCTGGGTACAGTGGCTCATGCCTATAATCCCAGTACTTTGATAGGCCAAGGTAGGAGGATCACCTGAGACCAGGAATTCAATACCAGCCTGGCAATATATTGAGACCTCATTTCTATAAAATAAAAATAAACTAACCAGCTGTGATGGCACATGCCTATAGTTCCAGCTACTTAGGAGACTGAAGCAGGAGGATCACTTGAGCCCAGGAATTTGAAGCTGCAGTGAGTTATGATTGCACCACTGCATTCAGCCTGGGCAACAGAGCAAGACCCACTCTCTTAAAAAAAAAAAAAAAAAAAAGTAAATTTCTGCTGGCATGATGGCTCACGCCTACAATCCCAGTACTTTGAGAGGCTGAGATGAGAGAATTGCCTGAACCTACAAGTTCGAGACCAGCCTGGGCAACTTCGCAAGACCTCATCTCTACAATAAATCAAAAAATTATCCAAGCATAGTGGTACGTGCCTGTAGTTCCAGCTACTTGGAAGGTTGAGGCAAAAGGATTGCCTGAGCCCAGCAGGTGGAGGCTGCAGCAGCCATGAGCATGCCACTGCACTCCAGCCTGGGTGATAGACTGAGATTCCAACTCAAAAAAAAAAAATGTGTAGAAACCTTTCTTACAAGACACCCCTAACAGATTTCCCTTAACATCGTATTGGACCCAATTGAATCATCCAATTTCTCATGCTGAACAAAGTCAGTGGCAGGACAGTGAAATTACTATTATTGATTTAGGATTCTCTGGGGTCAGAGACAGGCCTTGGAAGCACAAGGCTGCCTGACCCCCTAACAAAACTATTAGCAAGGAAAGGAGGAGGTGATGCTTGCATAGATGTGCAACAGTGTCACCACCACAGATATCTGTAAGGATTTATAAGGTGTGTGTTTAAGGTTCAATTTTAAGTTAATATGCAAATCATTTGACTAGTTATATAAAAATATTAGCTCTGAAGTTTGCAACCCAGAAACTCAGCTATATGAAGGGAGGTCAGTAATGTTTCCTGTCATTTTTAGAGCTAGGAGTATTAAGTATAAGCATAAAATAACCTAGCTTTAAAAAGAGTAAGCTCGAAAGAATGAGCATTCATATTCAAGTCCCAGGCATCTGGCACACAGTGAGTTTTGTGTGGTGCTATCCAAAATCACAGGAGGGAAAGCTCCTGGACAGGCAGGACCCACACTGGGCAGAGGGACCCCAGAGTGCCATTCCCAGGGTTATGTCTGTGGCAGAGGCCTGCTGTCCAGTAAGCCTCCTACCAAACACCCCAAATATAAAGATGGGGGAGGGGAGGACATAGGGCAGTATGATTCTAGATAGAAAGTTCAAGTTCATTCTAAGATACCCTTTAAAGATGCCCAGGACCCTGTAACTTGGAGAGCCAAGCTGATGAAGTTCTTCCTACTTCCTTCTCCATCCTTGCCCTCCAAGGCCGGCTCATGCTAAAAAGGACAGACTTCAGATGTAACAGGTGCACAGCCCATTATGAGGAACAAAGCAGGAAAAACACCTGGGTGCCAAGGCCCAGCCTGTGAGTGAACCCACAATACTGAGCTCGGGCAAGTCACCTTGCTTCCTGGATCCCTGGTTTCCTCATCAGTAAAACAGGAAGAACAGTAGATCGGGGTTGTGGTAAGGACCATGAGCACTAACAACTCTTTTCACTTGGGCCAGCCAAGGAGAAATGGGCTAGGGCAGGATAGCTCTCACCAAATTGCCTTGGGGATGGTGCTGCTCTGGTGGCTCATGTGGAGAGCAAAGCAGTTCCTGGACAGTTCAGAGCCCGCCTGTTTTCTGCCCTGTCCACAGGCCTCACACCCAGAGAAGAGGGTTCTCCATGTAGGGAGCCAGCCAAGATGGGCTTGTTCCAGTTTTCTTTGCTTCCTCTCTAAGAAAGACCAGAGCAGATTCAGCCCTGTCATCTAAGCTGAATAACTAGGTAGATTTGATGAACAGATTTTCCCTAATTTAATTCAGACTTGGAGTAGCTACCTGACTTTTCAGTGCAGCCTGGTTCTGTCTTTTATTGGTTGTGTAACTCTGGACAAGTGCTTTGACTTCTCTGAGTCTTCCTCCTCAGTCATCTGCAAAATAAATACCATAGCACAGGACTGTTGTGCAAGATTAAGGTCATTAGTACATGAAGCATTAGCACAGGGCCTGGAACATAGAAAGCACTCCATAAATAGTAACAATCACTATTATTGGTTTGTTAAAAGATTCAGACTTAGCATTTGTTAATCTCATTTGTGTAAAAGTATACATTTTGTTTTTTTTTTAAATTGGACACCATTGATTGCACAGTATACATTTTTAATATTATGAAGCTATATTTATTTAGAAAGTAAATATAAGCCAGGCACAGTGGCTCATGCCTGTAATCCTAACACTTTGGGAGGCCGAGGCAGGAAGACTACTTGACCCCAGGAATTCAAGACCAGCCTGGGCAACATAGCAAAACTTCTACAAAAAAATTTTAAAAATTAGCCGGGCATGCTATCACACACCTGTAGTACTGGCTACTCGGGATGCTGAAGTGGAAGGATCACCTGAGGTTGAGGCTTCGGTGAACCGTGATGGTCATGATCATGCCACTACTGCACTCCAGCCTGGGCAACAAAGTGAGCCTCTGACTCAAAAAAAGAAAGTAAGTAAACATAACTAATTCGTTCCCTCACTCTTCAAACTGGCAAGTACTCTATTAAATAGTGAGGATTTTGTTATGTCATTAGCTGATGGGGTGTGCAGTTAGGTAGTAACCTCCCACTCACTATATACTGCCCCTGTCTGCTACAGTCAGGGCAGTGTGGCTAAAGTTAAAACGATGCTCCAACATCTCTCAGTCATTAGCCCCAGGATCCAACGTCCTCAGAGTCAACTTCCTCTGCTTAGAGGTAAGGAATGTTGTAGCACATATCACATACTTGAGGCCACCCTCACTGAACTTGCTTCTGTCTTTTCTGGCAGGCTGTAAAGCGGTTCTTGAAACAAGAGTGCAAGTGTCACGGTGTGAGCGGTTCATGTACTCTGAGGACATGTTGGCTGGCCATGGCTGACTTCAGGAAAACAGGCGATTACCTCTGGAAGAAATACAATGGGGCCATCCAGGTAGTCATGAACCAAGATGGCACAGGTTTCACTGTGGCCAACAAGAGGTTTAAGAAGCCAACCAAAAATGACCTCGTGTATTTTGAGAATTCTCCAGACTACTGTATCAGGGACCGAGAGGCAGGTAAGTTCAAAATACTGGTTCACAGTACCTAATTCTTTCAGCATTCAATAGTCTACCATTTAAATGAGGGTCTGTATTTTCAGCCTGCCGTTTCAATAAGTGCAGCTTGCTGCCTTCAGGTTCAAAGCTCATGTTCCTTATAATTCATAACGAGACTGCACAGGGAGCACTCTAAAACAACTGGAGAAACTGGTTGATAATGTGCAGATTCCAGAGAAATGGAAACCCAACAAGAATGTGCAGGGCAAAAAGTCAAAACACCCAGATTAGCAAAATTCTTCAGCCTGGGCAAGATTCTGATTAGTGGACTGAAGTAGGCTGATGTAGGCACCCAGCGTGTCTCATGTGAGCCAGAAGTTGAGAGAAGGTTAGCTGTGTAGTGTCTTTCTCCCTTGCAAATCCCACCTCTGAGACTGTGGGAAAGGGTCTCAGGGCATTCGGTTCAGCCTCTTCTGAAATCTGCCCTACTTCACCTTCCCTTGCTTAGAAGTTGCCAAATGCTTTTTAAAAAAGACTCATCCCCACTCTCTGGGCTGTAGGTGTGCAGTGTATACTAAGGGCTGTGTAATAGGCACTTTATTTGCCAAAGCCCCACCCTTCCCATCCAGACAGCAACTTCTCCATCTCGAACTCACTCAAAGAGCAGCCTCCACACGGCAGCTGTCCCACCTGTCTGGTGTTATATATGTGCGTGCTCCACCCGTCACCCTTCCTGGTCAACACTGAAGTCCAGGATCAGATTATTCTTTTTTAAGACTGGTGCAAAATAAGTAGGAGTAGGCGTCTAAGTCGTCATGGGTGATGGAAGCCCATAGCCTTCTTGGGCTCAAACCAATTTCTCAGATTTGGTAGAAAGCAAGGGAATTCATTATCAGGAAAAAAAATCCTCTAATTCAAATTCAGAGGGTTTTTTTATTCCAAAATAATTGCAAAGGCACTCGTAAATCAGTGCAGATGGCAGCCCCCCAACATTAGATCGACCAAGAGGCAAGGTTACCAGGTAACGTTTTGAGGAGGCCAAAGCCCCCTTTTTGCCCCTGAGTGGTTGAATTTCCTTTATGGTCAGATGAGCTGGTTCTTGTAGCATTTGAGCAGGTTTGTGCACGCAGCCCAGGGATTAATGACGACTGAACAGAGGACCAGATGGTGTGCCCTGCTGCATTCCTGACACGTTTTGGGACCTCTAACAAGTCATCCTGCCTGTCAGGCCAAAGTTTCAGCTGTATCACCATGACACCTGTGCTTCAAATCAGGATTGGCCCAGGGGTGGAGCTCCCCCCCTGCCAGTCACTAGCTGTTTAACCTGGAGATGATGCTGTCTTGATCATTTTAGAGCCTATGTATTGACTCTTGTGTCCTGGGTACTGGGCTGGATAATTGCACACATGGTCTCATTGAATTCTTGGAGAGGCCAAGGATAAATTTGCATCTTATTTTTTGAAGTCAGATACACAGTCCTAGATATCATCATCCCCAGCGGACAGAAAAGTGAATTACCTGCTCAAGGTCATATTGGCAGGTGGATGTCTGTCCCCTTGGCCTGTGCTTTGACCTTGACAGTACACACTGGCCCCTGTCTGCCTCCCAGGACATGTATGTGAAAAGGTCTTGGAAAGCAAAAACCTTATTTCGAATGTAAGAGGGCTAGTTTCCCCAGCACATCTTCTTTGGATTGAACTGTTTACACAGGAAGGCAAACTGTTAGACTTGAGGAATATTTATTGCCTCATGGATATTCAGTGAAATAAAGACCATACATTTTCTTTACCCCACAGAGGGGATTCTGAATCTAATCCCTGTTGCTTCTTTGAGTTACTGAGTTATTCTTGCATACTTCGCTTTCTATACTCCTTGTATTAGAAAGAAATTCTGTTTCTTAATCCTAAAATAGCAGGCACATCTGTGGTACCTATCACACGCCAGGACTTGATCTACATTCTCTCACTGACTTGCACAGAAACAGAAAATCTATAAGGTGAGTGTGTTCCTTTTTTTTTTGAGTCAGGGTCTTACTTTTTCACCCAGGTTGGAGTGTGTAGTGGCAAGCTCATGGCTCACCATGGCATCACACTCCTGGGTTCAGGTGATCTGCCTGCCTCAGTCTCCCCAGTAGCTAGGACTACAGGCATGCACCACCATGCCCGACTAATTTTTTATTTTTATTTTTTTGTAGAGACGAGGTTTCTTTATGTTGCTCAGGCTGGACTTGATCTCCTGGGCTCAAGTGATCCTCTCACCTCAGCCTCCCAAAATGCTGGGACTACAGGGGTGAGCCACTGTGCCTGGCCTTTATTATCCCATTTTATGAGGGGAAGCTAAAGCTCTGAGAGGTTAAGGGTTTTGCCCAAACACTTGTGGTTGTTAAATGGTAGAGCAGGGACTTAAACCTGAGTTTGGCTTTCCTTTCAGCTATTTATTCTGCCTCCCACTCCACCAGGCACTAGGCACGCTGCCATAGGGGCTGACTTTCCAAGGGAAGCTATGTAATTTATTTACTCTCCTAATTTATTTCTCTTCTATCTTAGACACACTTTAGCTTATCTGACTTTAAAAGATGTCAATTTGGTTCTCAATTTCTATTGATTCACCAGGATCTACTCAGTTCTTCTTCTTCTTTTTTAAGTAGACTGTTCGTTTGTATTGGATCAAATTTCCAGTAAGATTTCTAGATTATTCAGAAATTATCTAAACTGTATTTAATTAATGCCCCTTTTAGCTGGGCCTAAGAAAATGCCAAAGTTGTCCATGCAAAACTTGCTGCAATATTTCTTTTTAATTCTGTTGACCATCAGATGATTATTTTAGTCAAAATATGATTCAGGATATTTGATATCATGTCAGCAAAAGTGCAGATTGTTAAAAAAATTTTTTTCATTGTTCCTATGTGGAATCATGTACAATTAGTCCCTTGGATGAGATGCAGGTTTATCTAAGAAAGCCTGTTTCAACCCAGACAGTTGCTGAAGACCTTGCTCTTGGTTGTGTGACAGAGAGCCTTCTAAAGATGAGGCATTCCCTCGGTCATTTTCGACTACAAACTTCTGTAGTACATGCTTTAGCAAGCCAGTCAAAACAGTTGTAGAGGCTTGTGGAGTGGTCTCTAACCTCTGTTAGTGGAGACGGGAGTGGTCTCTAACCTCTGTTAGTGAAGACGGGAGTATGATAGAGAATCTGAGACCTGTGAGAAGCTGTTTCCTGCCTCTCACTCCCAGTGGGGGTGCAGAAGCCACTCTCTTCCCGAAAGAAGGTGTTGGATCAGTGTACCACCACCCTCCCAGCCCATACAGAACCACCCAGTGTGTACACATCACTGAGTGATCACACTACCTAGGGACTTTCCTCTCAGCGCTAAAGTCATACCACATCAAGAAGGACCTGTTTTCTGGTAAATTGAAAGTGTTCAAAATGGCCTACCATCCTGAGTAGCCAGGCTCCACAACAAGTCAAAAGTTTGCAGTAAAACTTAAATCAAGTAACCTCCAATTTCCTTTTTTTTAATTTTTCCTTTTTTAAGGAAAAAACCCTTTCTGACATCACATCTCATATCACCCAGTCTGCTTTGCTGTGCTTATTTTGTTTTGCTTTGCTTCTGTCATTGCTTTTATTTTTAACTCATGCACGTTTAATTTTCAACTTAGTGGGCCCCTTCTACCTGCTAGCTCTGGAGAAGCAGCAGTGGTGAGTGGGTTGAATATTGCCCTGTAATCTGTATTTGGAACTGACTGGCTTTCCTCTTGCTGGGTAGTAAGTGCTTCCTGTTCATGGTAACTTATTGACTGACGTGAGCCAGCTTATTTTATCAGGTTGCTCAGTGGATAAAGTCTGGTAGGTCTAGTTCACTATTTCCCAGAGTGAGGGCCTTTTCAGAGACCTGTTGAATTAGATTCTCAAGGGCCCATCACTGAGATTCTGAATGCTTTCCAAACTTAAGCACAGCAAAGTTTGAAAAATTAGTGATTTGGGTAACACATGATTCTTGATTTTCATTATTACATAAGGTGAAATCCAGGGAAACATTCCTTGTTTTGGAGTACCCAATTTCTTACAAAGGGAAAAAAAAAGTCTTTATTTGAGGAAGGCTAGATATATACTACCCCAAAAATATACCCTGGCTTACCCAGTATAAGAAGATCATTCTTTCTCATTTAGGTCTTCAGGAACCCTCTTTTAGCACAAGTAAACAAAATGATTTCAGCCATCAAAGTTTTCACCAGCATTAGCTTGACAGAAGTTATCGAGTCAGTCCTCTCATGAATTCCTGAAATAATACTAGAACCAATGAATTTTGATGAGACTAGTTGCAGAGTCAAGACCCCGGGGTATTCCTGGGTGAGGATAAACCTAGCTGGGGAAGGATGATGAGAACGTTGACTGAGAGCCTGCTAAGAGTCAGACCCTATGCCACACACCTTATGTACATTCTCTGGCTCTTCACGGCAATGACTTCCATTTATAAAGAAGGAAAGTGAGGCTCTGAAAAGTTGCTTGACTTGCCCAAGATTGCATGGCCTGTCAAAATAAATACACATCAAAACAAAATTAATAAACATCAAAACAAAATCCGTATCTTTCTCACTGTACCTGTTACCTCCTGAAATTTGTGTGGCATCTGGGGGGGATCAGGGGAGTCCTGAGTAATGAAGAAGTAGTATGAGGACATGGTAGACTTAATGGGATGAGTTGCCAACAAAGTGGGGAGGTTGAAAGTGATCAGAGGGCCAGGCTCAGTGGCTCACACCCGTAATCCCAGCACTTTGGGAGACTGAAGTGGGAGGATTGCGTAAACTCAGTTCAAGACCAGCCTAGGCAATACAGCGAGACCTCATTTCTACAAAAATTTTAAAAATTAGCTGGGCATGGTGGCACACACCTGTAGTCCCAGCGACTCAGAAGGCTGAGGCAGAAGGATCACCTGAACTCAGAAGGTGGAGGCTGTGGTGAGTTGTGATTGTGTCATTGCACTCCAGCCTGGGTGACAAAGTGAGACCCCGACTCAAAAC